GACCTCTCATTCAGGAGGAACATGCAAGATTGGGAGATTGCGGAGCTTCAAGTTTTGTTGGCACTGCTATACGGGCAAGACATGCTCCAGCCATCCTGCGACTCTTGGAGATGGGGCTTGCGTGGCGATGGTTTGTTCACCGTAAAGTCCTTTTACCAGAGTATGTTGGTGAGAGAGGAGACCACTTTTCCATACTCCTCGATCTGGATTCCTAGGGCGCCCACGAAGGTGTGCTTTTTTGCATGGCTAGCGGCAAGGGGAGTGATCTTGACTGCTGAAAATCTCCGAAAGAGGGGAATTACACTTGTTAGTTGGTGCTACATGTGTAAAAGCTCAGGAGAAGAAGTTGATCACCTTATGTTGCATTGCCCTGTGTCCTCAGCTTTGTGGAGGGCAATCCTGAATCTCTTTGGTGTTCAATGGGTGATGCCAAGCACGGTAAAGGAAATGTTATATAGCTGGGGCGGTTTTCGTAGAAGAAGAAAGCAAAAGGCGTGGAAATTTGCTGCGTTAGCTCTTATGTGGGTAGTATGGGGGGAGAGAAATAGGAGAGCTTTTGAGGAGATTGAGTCTCCTTTTTCACATCTTAAGAATAGTCTTTTATCTTTGATCGCTTTTTGGTGCACTCACTTAGCCACTACTTGTATAGAAGATTGGGCGTCTTTTGTAGAGAATCATGTTCTGATATAAATTCTCTACGTCTTTGGTATACTTTGTGTACACGGAAGTTCTCTCCCTTTTGATTAATACAATTTACCTTATCAAAAAAAAAAAGGTGAGGATTGCCCAAGACCATATATGGAGGCAATAGTCCATTCCTCCAACTAATGTGGTTCAACACCTTTCTGCACTCTCAGATATCTCGTGTGGACGACATAACGTGGCTGAATATTCGGTAAACCAAGAATTAGGATGAGTCTGGTTGTGATACCATGTTAAGAAAATATTGTGTCTAACTCAACCAAAAGTTAGCACATAAGGTGAGCATTGCCAAGATCATGGAAGGAGACAACAACCCATTCCCTCAAGCAATATGAAACACTTAACATTTGTTCCTCATATACTTGTTTCGTACTGTTTGAATGATGAGACATGAGTACACTAGAAAGAGGAAAACCATGAACATTTCTGCATGATGAAATAAGAGCAACCAATAAGCACTTAACGTCCTTTATACTCATTGCTAACTCATCTCTTGTTCTAGTTGTTCATTTCTTTTTCTCTGTCCCTTCCTTTTCTAAATAACCTTCTTATTGCTGCTCTCATCTGTTGCTTTGTGAGTTTCCGTGTTGCACTTTAGTTGCCAATCTTTGGATTTTTTTTCTTTGATCAGAAAGTTGACCTATGAAAATGTGTAAAGTTAAAGTGGACTTCAGACACCTTCTGGTAAAAGAAAAGGTGTTAACGATATTTTTTCATTGGAGATAATGAGCCAAGTTTTGGTGCAGACAAGATTCAACTTCACCTTTTCAGTGGTCAGAAGTTGATATTCTGAAGTTTGCCGCTGGAGTTGAATCAAATACCAATCATCCAATTGGAAAAGCAATTGTAGAGGCTGCTCTGACTGCGAATTCTCCAAAATTGAAGGTAAGTCATGCTAAGTGCTCCTTTTCAAGTGTTTACCTATTTCTATATAGGAAGAGTGTCCAAATTATGCACATGCCCTTTGTATTCGAGAATCTCAGCCCTTTGAATTGCATGATATATTAACAGTATTTGTCCATGTTATCTTTCTCTTACGCGCGCGCACACACGCACATATATCGGCGATCCAATGATAATTTGGTTTTACAGATATTAGTAAATCATCGTCTGCTCTATGCCTCAAACTTGTATAGTTCTCCAAGTTGAGATTTTAGAAATTTCAGCTTCCTTATTAGGATAGTCAAATGGAATTCAAAATACCTTCTATTTTTTGTCAACGAGGTTTCAGTTTGCCCCTTGACACGTCTTATTTGAGTTNATATATATATGTATGTATGATCACATGCTGTTTTTCTATTTGTGCTGGCTGAGCATTAAGATGCTGAGGAGACTAACACCTGGGATTTCATAATTTAATCTAGGGATATAGTTGGGCTTAGGTATTTGTTGTGTCCACTGTCACCGTGTAGCAGTGTGAGCGTCCAATTTCTTAAATGTGTACATGCAGGTTTTGGATGGAACATTCATGGAGGAGCCTGGATCTGGTGCTGTAGGGTATATTGATAATAAAAGGATTTCTGTCGGCACACTGGAATGGGTCAAAAGGTAGCTTCTTCTTTTTGCACTTCTCACAATCTTTTTCTGTTGAACACTATTTTATCCTTTTCAATACAGTCCCATTTAGATGCTACATCTTGAAACTGTGCAGGCATGGAGTTCTTGAGAATCCGTTCCTAGAATTTGATGACTTTAAGAACCAATCAGTAGTATATGTGGGAGTTGATGGCGCCCTTGCTGGTCTAATTTATGTTGAGGATCAGATCAGAGAAGACGCAAGGCATGTTGTAGAATCTCTGTCGAAACAAGGGATTAGCACTTACTTACTGTCTGGTGACAAAAAGAATGCTGCCGAATACGTCGCATCTGTTGTTGGCATCCCTAAGGAAAATGTAAGCGGTTTCATCTTTCTTAAGACCAGAATCCATCTTAGTTCTGGGACCATTCTTTATATCTTTTTGTGCATTACAAGCTGCCTAGTGGACCTAATGATTCCAAAGAAAAATATCCACAATAAGTAATATAGCTAATGGGTCATCAGAAAAAAGTGATATAGCTAATGATAGGAAGTAACTGCTGCGCTGAAGAGAAATATGCATCATAAAAGCAAAGTAGCTAAAACTGGTAGGAGGAAGTTTTTATGAGCTTTATAATAATAAGACCTTGATCTCTGGTCTCACTCGAAGAATTTGTACTTCATGTCATTCATTGCCTTTGTGATAAGACTCATAAGAGAGAATGGTAGAAGTCCATAACTGACAGTTCGCAAGATGGTTCTTAATTGGATGTACAGCTTATTATTGGGTGACGACACCAATATTTGAACTACACTGAGATGTGAAAGAATTAGCTCATTATATTGTTTCCACAATTCCACTATAGTTTCGGTACATAACGTAGGTTCTTTATGGAGAATTAGCTTAGAAATTAGGGCCAATCTATTAGTCCATGATAGCTAATAGGAATCAGCATCCGTTTCCTTTTATTCCCAGTTGATAATGGCTAACTAAATAGAAATTTGCTATATCAAATTTTCCTGTTCCCCCTGCTTTTTAAAAATGTCCATGAAAATGGACTAATCCGGTCAATTTTGTTGGAGTAGAGCGAGACATATAGTCATGAAATTAGGTGTTGTGTGAAGGATATGGTAAATTAACTAGCAGATTTAAGACGAATACTAACCTCTACGACCATCACTGTGCATGGAAATTATCCTGTTTTTAGTATGTTCAAACTGAATAAAAGTTGAAAGATCTAACTTTTTGGATCAATTAGTTGGACCTTCCTCCAAATATAATAAAACTAAAAAGGGTTATCAAAAACGTATAATGAAACTAAAAGGACATCTCTCTCGTTGAACAATATTTGACACCTCTCCACCTAATGATATGAGCGGATTAAAATTGCATATGTTTTGACAAAAATTCTAATCCTCCTGCCATACCCTATTTTCTTTGTTTCCTGAGCGACATATCCTTTCATTGTTATTCGGTTATTCCTTATTTTAGTTTCCAACTTTCAGATTCTCAAATTGTGAGGATAGTGAAGACAAGTTGCCTTCTTCATCCTAGAAACATCCTAAGAAACCTAACTATAAAAATAACCATAGTTCAATGCACCTTCTTTCGCTCACAATCAAAAGCCTCCCTTATCATTCAATACGAATTCCTTACTATTCCTTTAAATCAATTTGTACAGATTGATATAGAAGGACAGCAAATGGAATCAGAAATAGAAAAGAAAGCATAGGGATCAAACAGTAAGGAGTGGTAGGGAGGTCTGATGCTGGCTGGAATACTCACGAAGGAATGACCGTGATGGTTGTTTGCAGGCTGGGATGACATTTGTGCACCAGTGCAGGGGGAGGGGAGGGGTAATTAATCCACATGAACAGTGGTGTGCTGGTGTCGGTTTCCTTAAATATGAAAAGGTGGGGCTCGGTGGGGTTGAATGGGAGAAATAGAAATTTGTCCGAGGAGATGAATACTTTCTCTCTCTCTCTCTCTCTCTC